GCTGTTAGAGGCAGATCAGAGACAGGAAAGGTGCTGGAGATGAAAAAACTCATTACTAGAGGCAGGAAGGAGCAAATTGGTGTGACAAAAACAAAAATAATTCCACATTTGCAGGATATTAAATGCTATGCGTGCTTGGTTTGTGTTTCTTTCAATGTCATTATTCTCTAACACCCTCAGACATACTCAGTGATGTTTTTCATTTAAACCCTAATCAGACTTTCAGTGCACTCCATATACTTCCAACGCTGTGGTATCTTTTTTCCGCTCATATTTCTTTTTTAACTGTGGCAGGATATGAGAAATTTGATGTATAGTTTCATCCTCCTTCGCTGTGTTGAAAATGTGACTCGCTGACACGTTTCTTCAACCTTAGTATCTTTCTCTGAGTACCGCCTGTACTCAATACCACGTGCTGTTGTAACCCAGTTGAAGTTTGAGGTTTTAAAAGAGAATGATAAAAAATATATCTATGTAGTGGTTGAAAAAACATAAACTGTGAGCGGATCAGCTGAAATATGAATTTTTGCCTTTGTAAGTGAAATTATGTCAGTATGCAAATATTGAGTTACAGGCAGCAGGTGGTTAGTTTAACATGGCATCAAAACAACAAACAAAAAGCCTGATTTGTGGTATTAGGGGAAGTCATGTTTATGCTGGTAAACCTTCATTATTATTTTTCAGCTATGCTAATGTAAATATTGGCTTACTTTTACTCTTCTTTTTTTGTGCCAGTTAGGCTATGCCCACACATACACGGTCATTTTTGCCTGTAGTTTGCTAACACTCGATGCCGACTGGAAATGAAGACCTTTGAGACCTTCAAAGTAAAAGCTGGACCTTTTTAAACATGTTTGCTCCACGTTCACTTAGTGAACTTTATGTATATACAGAAATGAGTGTGGGTTCAGATTTTTTATCTACCTCTTGGAAAAAAGGAGCCTGGTTCTGAATGCTGTTGGGTACCTCCTCCTGTCATATGTCCAATATTGTTGGATCTTCACCTTGGAATTCATTTTTAAGCTAGTGCGATGTGCATGTCAAGCACCTCGTCTAACGTGTCTCTTAATCTGTCTCTGCAGGAATTTCTACTACATCACTATGCTACGTGACCCTGTGTCACGCTACCTCAGTGAGTGGAAGCATGTGCAGCGTGGGGCTACCTGGAAAACTGCCCTCCACATGTGTGATGGCCGCCCTCCCACTCAGGATGAGCTTCCTGCCTGTTACAGCGGTGAAGACTGGACAGGGGTGCCCCTTCCTGACTTCATGAACTGCCCTTCGAACCTTGCTAACAACCGGCAAGTCCGCATGCTGGCAGACCTGAGCCTGGTGGGATGCTACAACATGTCGTCCATGAGCGAGCTGGAGAGAGGCCGCGTGCTGCTCGCAAGCGCCAAGTCCAACCTACGCAACATGGCCTTCTTTGGCCTGACGGAGTTTCAACGCAAGACGCAGTATCTGTTTGAACGGACGTTTGGCCTGCATTTCATCCGGCCCTTCACGCAGATCAACAGCACGCGAGCTGCTAGCGTGGGAATCAGCGAGAAGGTGCGGTGGCGCATCGAAGGGCTCAACGCCCTCGACATGGAGCTTTACGAGTATGCCAAGGAGCTGTTCCTGCGGCGCTACCAGTATAACCGCCAGAGGCAACACCAGGAGGAGCGGCTCAGGAGACGGCAGGAGAGGCAGCAGAGACAGCGGCTGCACAGGACCTATTTGGCTGAACTCTGGAGACTGGGAATAGGAGGAGGAGGAGCAGAGGAGGTGGAAGAGGAGGAGGTGAAGGTGAAGGTGCTAGAGGAGGTAGCCACCACAGAGGACTATGGCAGCCAGGTCGTGCGGTGGTGAGGAGAACACGTGAACTGCAAACACTTCATCGGTGACTGACGGCTGGTTGATTCATTGTGCTTTACTCCCCTCCCTCTGTCTTCCTCCATCTCGCCTCTGCTGTGAATCTGCCAAAACCTCCTGCCCTCCCAG